AGAAGAAGGAGAAAGCGGAGGAGGAGGAGGAGGAGGGGCGGGCGCGGAGGCGGGGGTGAGAGGGGGCGCTTGAGCCGAGCTGTCCTTAGCGCAGCGCTACTCGTGGCGGCCGAGCATGTGAGTGGCAGGGCCGGCGGCGGCCCGCGGACGATGCTCGCCCTCCTGGGCGCGATGGCCCTGGTGCTGGTCGCCGGGGCGCCGTGGGTGTTGCCCGCAGCCGCAGGTGAGAGACGAGGGGTCCCGGCGCAGGCTGGGGCGCGCCAGGCTCGGTGGCGGCGGCGGCGGACGCCCCGGCGCTGGGAGGTGGGTGGGAGGGACAGGCGTCCTCTGTGGGAGACCGCTAGTCGTCCGTGGTGGCAGCGCTCAAGTTGAAACTCACGGGCTCGAAAATCAAACAAGAGGAGGGTGGTGTTCCAAATCGTCGTACGCCGCTTGCTCGGGGGCCACTGTAGCGGTCCCCGGGCGGGGGACGCCCTCCTCGCCGTCCCTCCCGCCCTCTGGCCGCGCCCCGGGCTCCCACCCCCGCGCCGTTGGGTGTGCGAAGGCCTTGGTGTGGAGTTTCTTGGCGAATAATCCGGCGTCTCGGCTGGGCACGATTGATAATGAACAAGGCTTGAGCCACGAACTATGCTGCTGTTTCTGAAACGCATTTCGTTAATTTAGTAAACAGCACCCGTGGGAAAGGGATGAATTTCTCCGCCTTGGGGGTTCCTACAGTCTAATAAAAAGTAATAATAAAAGAAAAATACACTGGCAAAATACAAAGGCTGGGAGCCATCAGGCTACTTTGCTGCCTTTTTTAATGCCTAGCCGGGATGCCTCGGGGGAATGGCAACTATTATAAGGCTGACTTTGTAGTGAGAAGGGGTACCCAAAGAGAAACGGGGCCTAGCAACCGAGGGCAGGAATCCGGGAGGTCGCTGAGACCTCCTAGTGGGTTCAAAATACTTAACTGTTTGCTTAGAAGACCGTACCCCGATGTGGTACAATGTATCCTATTTCTCAAACGCGTCCGCAGATGTAGTGTATGGTATGTGGGTTCTAGGGCCCTGGTGGAACCCCGGGGTAATTTCTTTGAAGTCTTTTGTTCGTGAAGATTCCGCATTAAACTCATGTTTGCTTTAATATAAAAAGAATTTCCCCAGGAGGAAAATTCCATTCCGCGAGGATGTACATTAATATCCCAATTTTAATCTAGATTAGAGGAGAGCAGCTAAAATAAAGTTTATGTGCAGCTAGCATTTATTGCTCTCATAGCTTTGTGCCAGGTACTACTCTAAGTGTTTTGACGGTATAAACTTATTTAACTTTTAGAACAAAGCTAATTATCCTCATAATACAGAGGAGCCAACTGAGGCCCCGTGAGGTTGAAGGCGGTACAGCTAGCCAGTGGCTGAGTGGGAAATCAAACCCTGGGAATCGGCCTCAGAGCTGTGGGGCTTTAGCCGTGGAGCTTGTCTTCCTAAAAGGCCAAACAGTTGAAGTTCTTGATTATCCACTTTTATGTTAAGGGCCTAGTTATCTTCCAATTATCTAATTCACTTTTTTCTCAAAGGAATAGTAATGTTCAAAACTAAATGAAATGATAACCCCTAACTTGAGATCATAATGTTGTTCTGTCTTTCAAATTCATAAAAAATATTCATACTTTTAAACCTAATAAATGCACCTCTGGGACCCTTGCCTAAGAAAACTAGCCAAAGTATGTGAGGAAATTTATGTTCATATGGATGTAGGTGTTTGAATTTTTGTCAGACTTAAAAAGAGAGTAAACCGTTTCTGGTCATCAATATAAATGTGAAAGATTGAAAGCAACCAATTGTACAAATAGAAGGATTGGATTAAGTGCCCATTTGTATATTTTACATGCAAAATGGTGAAATGCACTATTATCAAAAGGATATTGCTAATAATACTGTAACCAAACTCAGTGGGTCCATCTCTTGGTAAGTGCGGAGCTGAAAAGCACAACCAAGGCTGAAGTGGGTGAAGAAAAAAGGTTTATTGCTTGCACAAGCAATGGAGAACACTGGGGATAGCTCCCAAAGCAGTGCGCCATACACAACCTCCCTCCCCCTAGCTTAGTGCAGTTGGAGATTTTATACACCAGAGTGCAGAGGATATGTTACAACTGTGTAACAACTGGGTCTAATCAGGGCACATGTGCAGGCCATTACACATGTGGCCTCTGGTTCCAGGATCTCCTTCCTTGAGCAGCAGGAGGATTGCATCCCCTAGCTCCACTCCATCAGATTTCCTCTTCCTAAATCAAGGCCCAGAATTACTAGAATTAGAATATTCTGGACTGGAGAGTACAGATGCCATCAGATCTTCTGTTAACCCCTATACACCCAATCACTGACCTTCGGCTGCATAGAATCTTATAAAATTCCAACAAATAGGATGAGAGTTAAGTTTAGAGGAGTGGGATAAGGGGAAGTATTCTATTCAGTGATGAAGTCTCGGAGAATATGAGTGTAGAACAGAAAATTGAGGGTGGGGAGACTCAATGAGTACCTCCCCAAATTAAAAAATAAATTTCGGGAAATGTTTTCTCCAATGTCTCCCCTTTTGACTCCATACCATAATATCTCTAACTGGAAAGTAGAGGAAGCAGTCCCAATAAAAAAAGTTCTACACAAGGACCCTTGTGGTAGAAAGTCCACATGCTTGCCCTGAGGCAGAGTAAAGGCTAGAAATATTGTAGGAACAAGAAATAAATTGATAAGCTGGTCTTTTAAAAACTGTAGCTTGTCATAGTGAACGATCAGCCGTTTATGATATTGAAGAAGTTACTGTGAACCCAACATTATGCTGAATACTCTGAAAAACGCAGATTAAGTATGAACCTGTTTAGACCCTGCCCTTCAGGAACTTGCAATCTGGTTGGAAATTTGCATTTAACACAAAGAAGCAATTTTTCAAAGCATCTTCATTCAGCAAGTTTTGAGAGCGTAGTAGATGTTAGTACGTGATGTTAGTCCTGAGGACGTCTGCTTGAGTGTGAAATTGAGCAATATAGATTCATGTGGCAACACGTGAAGAGCAAGGCCAGCAGTATTTGAGGAAGGTTTTCTATAAGGGATTGAACTTGAACTGGGTCTTGGAGGTTTCGGGTGGTCAGAGAAGAAGAGAAACACAGATTGAAGCGACTACAAAGGAAAAATGAGAAGACACCTAAAGGGTGGAAGATTTTACTAGAAGTATAAGAGATAGAGTAGGTCTCTAGATGGAAGTCCTTAAAAATAAACAGAAGGGTTCAAAGACTTGGTATGTTTAGCAGTCAAGACCTTTTCAGGTTCCTGTAGGGCTTGGCTGACATGATAAACATTCATACTTTTACCTCTCTCTGAATGTAGAATGTAAAACCAAATTGAGGCTGTTAAACCATTGAACCGTGTATTCTTTGTGTCAGTATCACTTCCAAGACCAGAGAAAAATTCTGTTTTTATATAGACTTTTTTTTCAGTTAAAAGACAATGCTTACCTTTTTTCTTTATTTTTTCCAGCTTTACTGAGATATATTTGACATATAACACTTGCTTTTTATAGATTAAAAAAACTCAGCCCTTTCCCAGCTCTCTCAAATGCAGAGATATAGTTAGCAGCCTCCTTGTGCTGAGAGCAATCATTAGGTATTTGGTTTTTGTTTGTTTGTTTTGCTGAGGAAGAATCACCCTGAGCTAACAGCTGTTGCCAATGTTCCTCTTTTTTTTTGCTTGATGAAGATTAGCCCTGAGATAACATCCGTGCCAGTCTTCCTCTATTTTGTATGTGTGTCACCGCCCTAGCATGGTTGATAGGTGTAGGTCCATGCCTGGGAACTGAACCCCGGGCCACTGAAGCAGAGTGCACCGAACTTAACCACTAGGCCACAGGGCCGGCCCCAATCGTTAGGTTTTTTAAGATTTTTTTATATACTTAATTTTGTTATATTTAAATATCCATTCTTTGATCAGTGACGTGAAGGGACAAATATCATTTTTAAAAGTATCTGTAGTGTGTGTATAACTGTCTTCTTTCTTGTTGCCTACACAGGGGGAACAAATCTGGAATCTCCTCGGGATGTAGAGGTCTATATCGTGGATGACAGCTTTATCCTGAAGTGGAACAGGGGCAGTGAGTCTCTCAGCAATGTGACTTTTTCAGTAGATTATCAAATGTATGTTACTCTACTCATTGATTTGCCAGAATCATCTGAAAAATTGTTATAATTTTAACACCATAATTTTTTTTGACTTGTGAAACATTTGTTTTTTAAAGAAATTTTATGTCTACTTTAAGTACTATTTATAACTTCATTTGTACAAATAGAGACTTAGTCAAATTCATCTTTGGGCATTGAAGCAAAAGAGATTTTGGGGATGAGGATGGCAGACAGCTTCTGTAGTCCACAGCCATGCCTTCTCTGTTCTGGATGCTCCAGCTTCTTTCAATATAAATTAGGGTCTGAACTAGAGCATATCTTGAGGATATGGGAGAGTGCCCCAAAAGGCCCGTCCATCTTGGAATAGGCCACTAGGTCTCCCATGGTGAGACTTTCCTATTATCTCCATCATACACAGTGTTTTAATTTAATTTTATTTTATTCTTTATTTATTTTTGTGTGTGTGTGAGGAAGATTGGCCCTGAGCTAACATCTGCCAATCCTCGTCTTTTTTGCTGAGGAAGATTGGCCCTGGGCTAACATCCGTGCCCATCTTCCTCTCCTTTATATGGGACGCCACCATAGCGTGGCTTAACAAGTGGTGCGTCAGTGCGCGCCCGGGATTCGAACTGGCGAACCCTGGGCTGCCACAGCGGAGTGCGAACACTTAACTGCTTGTGCCACCAGGCTAGCCCCCACAGTGTTTTAATTTTAGATACAGTTTATAAACATCAATATGGTAGACCCTGCACTCCCACAGGCTCAATATTCCTTGAGTTTCAATGCCTTCTGCCTAGTGCTAACTTTCTACTTAATAGTTGCCAAGAGGATAGGCAGGCAGGGAATTGTAGAAGAAAGGCTAACAGAAGGAAACACAGCTCAGGGAGTACAGTCCTTGGCTTTGGGTGTTGGGGCCCCGTCTGCTAACCGTGAGCGGGCAGGTAATCGGGCAGCAAAGAAACAGGCTGTAGCGCCTGCAGGACCAGGCTCTCACCCCTTCAACCACAGCCCCAGTGCTATTGTTCTCCAGGCGATTGCTAATAACACTGTGGGATTAATCTAATCTCACAGCTTTAGTAATTTGAGTCTACACTAAACCATACATATATGGTTTTTCTCAGAATTGATCATTTAATAATTTTTATCTTCAGAGATTTTCTTTAAACTGAACTTTGAATTTTATTACCAATTTTGTTCTCTGCCTTAGTTCAGAATTTTCTTATTAAACAACTGTTTTAGGTATAATGAAGATGATTTCAGATACCCTTATTGAAAGGTACCCTTCTGGTAAAGAGCAGAGTCATGGACAGCACTCTCGTATTTTTGTTCCTTCACACGTTATGTTGCTTGCACTAAATTCTCCAGTCCGTAATAATCTGTCTTGTAACCCTTCCATTCTGACTTGAGCATCAAATGCATTATTTCCGTGTGTTCTTACTCTGTCCTGTTCCGCTAGCTTTATAAACAATTGCCTTCTAAAAATAGGCCAGACTACAAGTTTGTGGAGACAATATGGTGTTAGTGTGGTATGAACTTGAGCCAGGCTACTTAGATTTAAATCTGTCCTCAGCTACTTATTCTCTCTGTCACAGTTTCTTTATCTGTAAAGTAGAGATAAACACTGATATGACCATATATAATTTATCATCCAAATCAGGATCCTTTTGAGAGTGAAAAGAAGCACTTAATTTTTTTTAATTTTTTTTTTTTAATTTTTATTTATTTACTTTTTCCCCCAAAGCCCCAGTAGATAGTTGTATGTCATAGCTGCACATCCTTCTAGTTGCTGTATGTGGGACGCGGCCTCAGCATGGCCGGAGAAGCGGTGCGTCGGTGCGCGCCCAGGATCCGAACCCGGGCCGCCGGCAGCGGAGCGCACGCACTTAACCGCTAAGCCACAGGGCCAGCCCAAGAGGCACTTAATTTTAGATAAGCTGGAACAAGCTTAAACCAGGACTGCCACAAGAAAACTGGACTAGGACAGCCCAATAATAAAGTATCTAATTGAGAAGCTTGTTAGGAGTATGGAACAGTTGTATATAAAGTGCTCAGAATGGTGGCACAGAGTAAGTGATCAATTGCAGTGTAATTAGCAGCAGCAGCAGACACTTATTTTTTAATATAGTGTTTCTCAGAATGTAGGACATATACCACTGGTGATAAATGATACACAGACACATAAATAAGCTATTAGGATTCCAGTGCCTGTAGAACGCAGGCTAAGACATCGATGTTTGTGACTTATATCTAAAATTTATTATGCTGTATGTAGTGTGTGGTATTCATTCTTTTGTTCAATAAATATTGAGTGCTTTTTATGCCAAACATTCTCCTGGGTGCTAAGAATCTATCAGTGAATAGGAGAGACAAAGATGGCATGTAGTTATATTATGAAACTGGTTTTATGAAATGAATTTTATGTTGGTTACATATTGGTTACATGTTCATTTTCAAGTTATACTCTGTTCTGATCTAAATATTCTATATGATAAAGTAGTTTTTTTTTTTTTCTAAGAAAATATAAAAGTACCCACCACTGCGGTAGCTCTTTTAGATGCAAAAGCAGTTGAAATATTGTGTGCAGCTGCATCTCCTGGATCAGGAAAGACAGATGTAAAGAGTGAGGGTGGGCTGAAACCATATCAAGGCTTAGTTTTAAATTTTTTATAAGGTTTTCTGTTTATAAGAGCCTCTGGATTTTTAAAAATAGATTCTCATGTGGAGAAGTTTTTCAGGAATGGTATCATTAAGTGCCAGCTTTAATCTCAGAGCTCAGATAGGTGTCAACTTAAAAAGCAAATTTGCCTGTTATCTCAAAATGAGTTTATTCGGGAATAGCCAAAAGAATTGCAATTCGGGATGTGTATGCTATGGCAGACCATAGGCAAATCTGGAAAACAAAGGAGGGGAGCTGCTTTTATGGAGAAAAAGAGGGTAGGGAGGAGCTGTTCTAAAGGAGAGTCGATTGGGGGAAGGTAGCAGTTCAAGGTGGAAATGGTTTCTCGTTGGCTGAGCTGCAGCGTTTCTCATTGGCTGCCTGTTGCCGAATGGGAAAAGAAATCTCCCTTCAGAAGTAAAGCAGTTTTACTCTCTGTCCAAGATGCAAGGGTAGGTCTCTCTCTGTTTGGTGTAACTGACATGTATGATAGGGCATGAGAGCTCCCCCTACAGGCCTTCCCAACTCCAATTTAGTTAAGATTTCTTTTATTAATTTCCACATAGGTGATTTTATTAATTTCCACGTGGAAAGGGAAATTGGCCAGGAATGAAGTGTTCCATATGCTAGTGTACATTGATAATTTTTTTTAAATGTTTCCTTTTTGCAAAATAAGGTAGACTTGTATTTGGGTCAGCACAAAAATTATTTAGATATCCTCCCTGGTTTCTTTTATCTTAAAGCATCTTTAAAATGAAGTCTACAATATTACCAAAAAAAAAAAAAAAATGGTTAATGCTAGAACTATGAATCAGGCTTGACAAAAATGCCTTCTCAGAGAACAGTTTCTCTGCCTGGTGTCAGGGAGACGGGGCTTAACACAGGCAGAAGTTTTGAAACCTGATGTTTGTTTTCTGCCGCTCACTTTCACTTTAGCCTCCCCTTCCCCTTTGTAGTAACGCGTCTTTTCTGTTTCAGGCACTCAGTGCCAGCTGCATTTCTTTATATGTTTGAAGAATCTAACATCAATCGCTTCACCTTTTTGATGGACTAAATTCACTCTGAGGAATTTGGTTTATGTTAACGTTTTAAGTTCTTTGTTTCTAGTGATATAATAGAAGGGATAATGGAGATCAGCAAGCAGAAGGGATGTTTGGTTTTGAGGAGGGCAGAGGAAATTGTCAAACCATACTGATTCTGAGGTCTTTCTTAGGGCTAGTGAATCTATTCATAGGAGGAGGTCAGAAACGAATCATCAAATCCAGTTCTCAAATTTTTAGTGAGGAAGAGAAGATCCAGAAATACAAAGTAGTTGGCCAGAAGTCACACAACTTTTTTTTTTTTTTTTTTTTGGTGAGGAAGATTAACCCTGAGCTAACATCTGTGCCAGTCTTCCTCTATTTTGTATGTGGGTCACCACCACAGCATGGCCGCTGAGGAGTGGTGTATGTCCATGCCTGGGATCCAAACCTGTGAACCCCGGCCACCAAAGCAGAGCACACGGAACTTAACTGCCTAACCATGGTGCCAGCCCCTCACACAACTATTTCTAAAGCTGACACTAAGTCCACTTTTACCTTATGGGTCATTTCTTTCTCAGCTTCTTTGAAATCCTAATGCAACCACCCACAAAATTCTAGAACTGTATTAAATTAACTGTCAGAATTATTCCATTTATAAATAGTAAATTTATGCATTGAAAAAGAGTGGAATGTTACTAAAATGTTAACAGGACATTAACTCAAATGGAAGAAATAGCTCCTTAAACTAGCTTTATAGTGTTAGTAAACAGAAAGTGTGTTTGACGCTCTTTTGTATGTATACATTTGCTCATTCATTCATTTGCTTTTTAATTTTAAAGACCTGAGATGGATGACTGGACCGAATTGCCTGGGTGTCAATATATTACTAGTACGCAATGCGACTTTTCTTCACTCCAGCTAAATGTTTATGATGAACTTAAATTGCGTATAAGAGCAGAAAAAGGAAACAACACTTCTCCATGGTATGAGGTTGACTCATTTATACCATTTCATAAAGGTAAGAAAAAGTTGCGAGCTGAATTACGTTACATTCTTTATCAAATATTAGTCAGAACAGCTCAATTAACAAGCCTGTTCATTTGCATGATGTAAAATCTCCCATCTTAAAAAAGAAAAAAAAAACACAGATTCTCTTAAACGTATATCTTCTTCCTGCTGTGGCCTCATTTTTCTGCTTTCCCTACATTAGTTGTTCTCAAAGTGTGGTCCCAAAGACTGTTTCAGGAGGTCTGCAAAGTCAAAGCTATTTTTATAATAATTCTATGATTTGTTTGCCTTTTTCATTTTCATTCCCTCTCGGGTGTACAGTGGAGTTTTCCAGAGGCCATTTGGTGTGTGATATGGTAACTGACTGAGTGCAGAGTAGGTGTGACATACATCTGTCTTCTTTATTAAGCCAGACATTAAAGAGATTTGAACAAAATGTGAAGCAGCACCCCTCTTCCCACTAAGTTTTTTTGTTTGTTTGTTTTGGGAAATATAATTATTTATTTATAACAAATATTTGTTACTATGTAAAGGGTTTGTCATTATTATTTTTTAATGAATTAATATTTTAAACTTTGTATCAGTTTTAATGTTTAATATGCTAAATATCAAAAGACATAATTCATATAAACAAAAGCTCTTTGTTACTCTCACTTTCTTTAAGAGTGTAAAGGGTTCCTGAGACCAGAAAGTTAGAGAACCAATGCCCTATACCAAAACTCAAAGAAGAATTATGCGTACCTCCTCTCTGTACTTCTTTTCTTCCCACTCTCTCTTCAGCACTCTCCATTCGGGCGTCGTTCCTCATCACTACACTAAAACTACTCTTGTCAAGGTCACAGTGACCCCCACAATGCCGGGTGAATTCCCAGGCCTCTTCTGGCTCAGTTCCTTTGTCGCATCGACATGAGTATCACTCTTTTTCTAGGAACCCTTCCGTCAAGGATCTCTAGGACAACGCCCTTTCCTGGCTCTTCTCCTGCTCATTGGTTTCTCCTTTGCCAGTTTGTCCTCGTCTCCTAAACCTTAAATGTGGGACCGCCGGGGGCTCGGTCGTTGAACTTCTCTCTCTCTTCCCTCACTCCACTGGTAATCTTATGGCTTCCAATGCCATCTATATGCTCTTGGCTCCCCAAATTATATCTCCAGCCCCATTCCTTCCCCTTACCTTCAGTCTTGAATCACCAGCTCTCTGTTCAATGTCTCTACTTAGACGTCTCAAAGTCATCTCAAATTTAACATGGCCAAACAAAGCTCTTGATTTTCCCCCTCAAAACCTGCTTTTCTTGGGCCGACCTGGTGGCGCAAGTGGTTAAGTGTACGCGCTCCGCTGCGCTGGCCTGGGGTTCGCCGGTTCGGATCCCGGGCGTGCACTGACTCACAGCTTGGCAAGCCATGCTGTGGCGGCGTCCCATATAAAGTGGAGGAAGATGGGCACGGATGTTAGCCCAGGGCCAGTCTTCCTCAGCAAAAAGAGGA